GAGAGAGAGAGAGAGAGAGAGAGAGAGAGAGAAAGTGAGCAGTTACTGGACTGGACCATCTCGCCAAGCACACAGACATGTGTCCCTTTTAATGTGGTTGTTTTTACGTCCTCATCAACACAAGAGAGAGAAATTTGGAAGCAGGCTTTCACCCCGCCTGTTAGGGCCGGCACCAGCTGAAAGAGATACAACATCCCAGCAGACAGACTGAGGTACTAGATAAGAATGTTCTTGCCACACGGGAATCGAACTCAGATCGTGTGCATGTGCCTAACCGCTACACCACGGCCGCAGGTAATTTAAAATAAAGAGGAACAGAAATTAAAAACAACACAAAAACAAGCATACAAACAACTTTTTTTAATGTAACAAACACACACGCACATACACACATATACACATATAGACACACACACACAGACACACACACACACACACACACATACACAAAAGACCCTCTCTCTCTCTCTCCATCATGTGTTAGTTCGCGTGCCACAAGACAAGACTGTCTATGATCTATCTACCAATCGTTCACACTGCACTTCCGACACACAGTCAACAACAACGACGTCTGCTGTTTCATCATTTCAAACACTTTTCTCACCCTCGCCGCCCCGGAAGTGCAAGTTTCCGACATGGCCGACTTCGGAGCAAGAGCAGGTGACGTCACACATCATCAGATTCTGAGACTGGACGGTCGAAAACGACGTAATCAAGGAAATGATCTTCTTGGTGTAACGGATATATCTACAGTTATACTTACAAGTGGGTTGGGTTTTGTTTATTGTTGTTTTTTCAGTAAATTCGTTTACTCATTGTCCTTTATCTTACACTGGCAGGCAGCGGGATCGGAAGCCCACATCCTAAGTGGTCTATCTACTATCTCGTGTTGATTTGGGGGGGGGGGGGTAAAAAAAAACCCAGGTATATTCTTAAAAACATCTTTTTTTAAATATTTATTTCCTTGAGACCTACATCTTATGAAATAAATTATTTTTAATAAAAAGATTACCGGGACCGTCAAAAAGTTCTTGTTGTGACTGATCTTTAGTCTTTTCTGCTTGAAAATGTTGTCTTGTGGGGTACACTTAGCGAAGAAACCTTGTGGATTGTTGGCGGGTGCTCCGTTGTGGTTCGCTCCTTCTTTCCTATCAAACATCTATAGTTCTAATCTCTCCTTTTTTGCTTTGCTCTCTTGCAATACCTCTAATCTCCGGCACCTATTGACCTATTACTACAATTTGGGCTGCAAGTGCTGTAAAACTTTTACCAAAACTAATTAGCTACTATGCGAAGAAACCACGATTGTGTCCATGCTTCTCCGTCTCATAAACAAATATGGACCAATGACAGAGCTCTCCGGCGGGTCACGCGTCTCCGTTACGTCACACGAGAGGCCGGAAATGAGAGTTTAATGATGCGGCAAGGCGCTCGGTGATAAAGGGGGGATCAGCATCGATGTGGACTTTATTTATCGCTCGTTAGGTGTTGGCCGCTTTGTCCGGGGCCGTTAGCGGGCTATCAAACAGACGTTAGTGAGCGCGGGATGGGAAATGTATGCAGTGCGACGGCCCGTCGGTGGGGCCCGGGGACTCTCGGAGTGTGCCACAACGTCTTAGAAAAATCTCCGTCCGTCTGAGAGGCAAAAACGTTTTATCTTCGTCCACGGTTGTTGTATAGATAGGACCTTTGTGCAGGGAGATGCTGAGTGGGCCGGGTGGTTGTGGGTGACACTGACTGACTGGGAGCGACAGACACAAGGAGGAAGAAAAGAAAGAAGAAATGAAAGAAGAAAAGAAAAAAGAAGAAGAAAGAAGAAAAAAAAGAAGAAGAAGACAGGAGAAGAGTCGAGCTTCCGTGTGATGAGCGACGTGTGTGGGTGGAGAAGTCAAGTACTCATCCAAGCTCCTGTCACTCAAACTCCACTCCTCGTCTTGATGTTTCTCTTTTCTCCCTCCGCCCTTCCTTCCTTTCAGCCCCC